ATTCGTCGCTCTTGTCACGGTTCACTTATATTTTAATCGGTGATACAGTGCCAGTGATTCATGAGCGAATCCCCCGACTCGCGAGAGAATCCATCGAAATCCAGAGATCGATCGTACGACGCCATCGCCATCGAATTCCGAGATCGAATAGTTTCGCAGTTTCGAGAGTCAGAGGATCGGGAGAATATGAAATTTTCGCTCCACTGACGAAGGAAAATTCGAACGGCTTCGTCCAGTCGATCTTAAACGGCGTTATTTTCCATTTGCCTTCGCGCGGTTTCGGTTCGAAGAACGTAATGAGAAGACAACGGTCGTAAGTTTCAGCGAAGGATCGATTGTGTCGAAGTGTTTATGAAACATCGATAGGGTCAGGCTCGCACGGGATTGAACGAAGAGGACAAGGAACTCGGAAGATCGGGGAAAAGTGAACGATATCATCATTGTCCGTCGTACTCTCTCTTTCCAGGTTTTTCGAGAGTGCTCTGCTCGAGTTAATGCGCCTAAACAGGGCGTGAAGTTTAAACGCCGGCTTTGAAGAATACGGTAATCTCGCAGCGAAATTGAAATTCTCTTGTAGCGAGTACGACACGGTTAATTTGGGAATTCTTCAACGACGAATTTCCGAGGGAATTAAATTTAATCGCGCACCCTGTCTTTTATCGTAGGTAACTGCTACTTTCTCTTCCTCCTGTCACAACTTCTACGCTTCTTTGTTAAATTGGAAATTTTAATTGCAATTATTTTCGTTCCTCGCGGTGTTCCTATTCGCGAGGAACGGTATGGCGCTATAATTAGGCGAGAAAGAGAATAGATTATTTGTTACATTCGCGATGGGGCAGTGACTCGGGGCAATAAAAAGTGCTGTATGTAAGGCAGGTCGTGAAAGCGGCACGGATGAAGCGCTGCGATGAAATTCATTTCATTCAACTTTCGATGGAATGGCGCTTACGCATCTAAGAGGAATTTCATTTGAATAAATAAGCTCGTCTGTGAATAATTAAATACTCGAACAGTAGTGGTCGAGATCACTAGGCGTGACGTTCGCGTCCCACTTTTCTTCCCAATTATCGTCCACTGATTACTCTGTTCACCGTTGTTTATCGCATGAAAGCGGTCTGTTTTATTCTTCCCTTGCCATGATTCACGTTACAGTTAGGCAAAGAGTTACAATCGATACTGAATCAGCATCGGAGGTCAATGCACGTCGGTGTAAGGACGGATTTCATTTGTTTCGTTCCGTACGACTGGCTGGTTGGAAAATTCGCCGTGCGAGATACTTCGTTTCGAAATTGAAATTACCAGATGAAACCATTGTCAGAGAGAATGTAATATCGTCGTGGTTTTCCGGAAGAATCAGATCGGTACCAGGCTTACACGACACTTGCCACTCGCGGACACAAGACATTAACAATAAGTAGGCCAAGTAGACTTATTAGACTGAAAGAAGGCTTTGCTAATCGAGCCACTACCAATTACGTTATCGTCAACCATACTTACTCTTGAATTGCTCTTTTAACAGCATCCCGCCTTCATAGGTTCTTAATGATTTTTTTACAAATTTTATTCCATTTATTATAGTTACTCGCAATGGTAGTTTAGAAACTTAAATTTCTGCGTTGCCGTTCAAGCATTGTAACACTTAATACATATATATATATGTATATTTCTTGGTAATACATAACAAATAATACAGTAATTATCAGGTATATTAAAGTATCACTGTACTTTTAATTCATTAAGAATATTCATTTAATAATTATAATTAACTCAAAATCAAAGTTATTTCATAACGTTCATGAAATTCGTATAGTTTTATACAAATTGTTAGATACAAATATTATAGTTAGATTAGTTAGTTATATAGTTACATACAAATTTGCACTATTTCCTGTAATTGTCAGAGATATATTTAAATTATTTCGTAACATTCATAAAATTCGTATAGTTTTATACAAATAATTAGATATAAATATTATAATTAGATTAGGTACTTAGAAAATTAAGTTATAGTTAGATGCAAATTTTCATTATTGCCCTATAATGGTCTGGGATATATTTAAATTACTTCTTAACATTCATAAAATTTACCTAGTTTTATACGGATACAAATTTACACTATTTTCTTATAATTGTCACAGATAGATTTAAATTATTTCATAACATTCATAAA